GAGAGAGGCAAGAGATAGACATTGGAAGGAGGGCAAAGCCAACCTTTTAAAAGTGAACCAGTGAACGTGCACAGGAGGAGCTCTAAGTGGCTGCAGCGGAGGACCAGCCTCTCAGGACCCCAAGGGCAGGCCAGTACAGATGCCTGAATATTAACAGGAAGTTTGGGTTTCTAGATAGGAACAGGTGTGGGGGGGTGCAAGCCCTCATTTTCCAGGGTAAAGAGAATGAAACTATCCTACTAACTTTTCATTGACCTTTAAACTGGGTATGAGAGTGCCGACCGTCACACACCACACACAAATGCATAATAATAAACAAAACCTTAATTTAAACAAACACAGAGCCGGGCATATTTGCTCCCACCTTTAATCCAAGCACTCAGAAACAAAGGCAGGTGATCTCTGAGATGCAGGCCAGCTAGACCTATATAGGAGTTCCAGGATATCCACTGAGACAGTCTCCAAACAACAGAAACAAAAAGAGCAAATGCTGGCAAGAAGGTAGAGGAAAGACGGTTCTTACACAGCACTGGTGGGAATACAAACCAGTCTATCTGCTGTGAAAGTCAATACTGCGGTTTATTCAAACTAACGATAGATTCCCACGTAACAGGAGCTATCCTGGGTATTTACATGAAGGACTCAAATCCATCACAGACACACTTCCACAATCGTCTTGAAAGACCCCCGCCTGGCTGTTTAGCTGCTGTAACGCCATTATAAGCAAGGCTTGAACCAAACACTGGGGGCTCATAACAAGGTCTTGGGGCTCATAACAAAGGCACAGATGTTATCGTCAAGTCTGCATAACAGGATGCCTGTGGTCTGACACCAAGAGTTATGCCACTCACATGAACAAGATTAAGGGGGAGGAATAGAGAGTCCCCAAACTGTCAGGCACTCAGCGAAACACTGACAGCTGTCTTAGACATGAGGCCTCATGGCCTCATTAAAATTGACCAATGAAACCCCTGTAACTATGCATTTGCTTCTGTATGCTCGCTTCTGCCTGCCCCTTCCCTATATAATCTGCCCCAAAACCCAGCCCGGGGTGCTCAGTTCTCCAGGTGACTGCAGCACCCATAGGCCCTATGTGAGCAATAAAAAAAATTGCCTCTTGCTTTTGCATCCAGTGGCTCGGACTCGGTTCTTGGGCAAGGGTCTCCATATGGTTAAGACCCTTAGGGTGGTCTTTCAGTCTGTTAACAGCCCATGCTCAACAGTAAGTTATGGACCTGTTCCCAGTGACAAAACACGGAATGAATAAAGAGCGTGAGGTAAAAACCCAGTGACAGTGGCACACGTCTTTAATCCCAGCACTCTGAGTTCAAGGCCAGCCTAGTCTACAGACTGAGTTTCAGGACAGCCAGGGCTGTTACACAGAGAAACTCTGTCTTTGAAAACGATAGATAGATAGATAGATAGATAGATAGATAGATAGATAGATAGATAGATAGATAGATAGAT